TGGTTGAATTGGGATAGTCTTCGCGGTCAGGAGAAATATATAGCCGGACGCCACACGGACTAATTAAATGGCACTGTTCAGTTTCTGCCATAAGCCTAAGTGTAAAATAAATTATAGTGAACTTTTAATCAGTTATAGTCTTAGAGGGTTGGCGTATTTTCGAAAAAGGTGCACACACACCTCTTCCCAGACTGATTTTATGGGAACTATGCTGTTGTTCCACGGATGTTCCCCTTGTTCACCAAACAAAATACTACACAAAAGCCCACCATTTACTACCTTCAATCTCCGATAACAAAGCATTTCTTAGTAAGAGGAAGAAGTGATTTCGAAAAATGCTATGTTATGAAACAATGTTTGGTTCTTGTTCCACGCAAGCTGATAAATTACTCGAATGCATTCTACTAATTCTGACTTAAGTAGTAATTACATAGCGATTTGTTTTGATTTCAGTTTTGCAGTTGATCATTTTCAAGCCGGGAATTCGACCAGAGGAGCAGAAGGGAGCACCGCTTTTACAGCTCCTCAAGGATCCCTACATTATCGTTGCAGCCGGTAAATTAAACAAAAAAGAGTCTACTTTTTCCTTCTTATTTCCGCAGTGGATCAGATCAAACGGAAGAAACAGGAAAGGCAATGCATAATGTTATTTTGAGGTTTCCCATGCCAAAAATGCTTTACTTCAGGGTAGAGATTAATTCCTGAGGCTACTAAATGCAAGTTTCTCCCACGGATGAGCTGAACTCCCCACAGTTCTGTCACCCAGTGGCAGAATATCTGCGAAACACGTGTCTAGACTTATAGTTAGTGCGCGTGCTCCCGATAGTTTGACCGTCGAGTCCGACGACTTCCATTGTTCGCTTCACAACAGGGTGGTGCAAAGACTTCTGCTTGATTTTAGTGAAAGTAGACTTGTGGGGCATTTACTTCACCCTCTTCTCGCTCCCCACATGGGCCCGGTGTCGAGACAAAATCAAAAAGAGGGTGAGAGGGTGGGAGAGGGCACAGACCTACGCATTGTAGACCATCCAAACAAGAAAATTTCAGTAAAAAAGGGAGACGGCTCTGATTCCAGCTGAATGGACGTGCCATAAAGGGGGAGCAATTGCAACATGACTCTCAGTCCGCCACTCAGCCATTCCACACAGCACAATAGACACTGGGCTGACCACGTCAATTAGCAGTCCTCCAAGCCACAGTTTTTAGTGCTCCGTGATAGCACTAACCACGTCAGATTGTTTATAGTGAGGTTTATCATACAAGATATCTAAATGTTGCCCCATCAAGCATTCATGCATTCATGTTGATATCGTACAAGACATACAAGTAAAGACTACCAATACAAAGGAAAGTGCGAGTCCCAGGACATAAGTGAGAAGAAATGGACGCAATCGCTGGAACACTAACTTTATTCGTCTGATGTTTTAGGTCCCCGTTCGAACCCATCTTCAGAGACAGCATCAGCTCGGACAATTTGTACACGGGTAGTTGCAGTATTTATAGGATGCAATCGTTACGCTACTGTGTACCTATGACCATTAACGGCCCTAGAGCAATCAATCCCTCGGGGGAGTACGCAGGTAAACGCATTTTCAGACGCCAGTGTTGGTGAGCTAACTCGCTGAGCAATCATCACGCCAATCTTTAACATGGGTGATAAAATTTTAGCAGATAACGGCCCGCTTGCCGGCCATCATGCACTTAGCGAACTAGAAGGCAATCATCCTCGACGGAGAGGGAAGCGTCAATTTTCATGAGTATGCAATACGGTTGCAAACGCAACCTATAAGTACCACAATTCCCGATGTACGAAGTATCAATATCTGATATTGTCTGTGAGGATGGGTTTGATATTAACTCAAAAATGCCAGGTGAATAAAATTCTTCTTCCAGCGATTGGGTCTACTTCTTCTCAGTCATAAAAGTAATAACAAATCATGGTCATTCGATTTCCAGGTAACGTATTCAAAGAGGAAAGGTATTCACTGAAAACGGCCATTGCTAACCCAGCCCTAAACTGCGCTCTAGCCAAGAGACTCCAATGCATGCTTCCTTTCTTAATGACGTTTTCTGAGTACTTTTTACGTTGACAAACTCTCCCTGAAGTTTAAAACAGATAGTGGGCCCATTTATTGGATTCACTATCTTCGAATTTGTAAATTTCTGTCGCAACTCATCGGATTTCTAGTAACGAATTGCCTTCGTCAGTTGTCATTCGTGGATACCAAGTGAATCGGCAACAGTAGTTTAAATAGTGCAAATCATATACCCCTAGTCCCAGCATTTTTTCTACGGAGACGGTAGTTATAGGGATTTTGTGGGTGGAGAATTAGACTAGACAGAGGAACATACTTGAATAACTGCCATATACATTTTTATTTTGCTGTATTTAGAAATGTTGTTGGTTGGTATCTGTAGATTTTCCTAATCTGTACTATCTTTTAATGTATTGCAGAAAAACCTGATTATCAAAATGCAAGTTTTTTGAAATTCCTGAACTAAAAGGCATGATGGTTAGGAAGTTGTCTACTCTTCCTTACCTGAGGTTGAACTTACCGGTCTGGAGTTAGATTAGTATAGTCCGCGGGGCGACGCGGTGCGCACATCTCACATTTACATGGGGAACAACATACTCCCAGCGGCCGCGGAAAACAAATCCAACTATATTTTTCCATTTTCCACTTACTTCTACACATTTCCTTCCCTGCCTATCCTATTTCCCCACTCCAAAGGCTCATATAACTACCGTTTCCGTATGACGAAATGCTGGGACTAGGGGTATATGAGGTGCACTACTTAAACTACCCTTGCCAGTGGATCTTTGAAGAGTCACAGGGTTAAGACCTCTCTAGTTCAACCGTTCTGTGGATTCAGTCGTCCTTCATGTTTACCAGTTGTCGTGATCATGTTCAGGTTTTCTAAAAATAGTTCGGTTAAAATTAATTAATTAAGCACCGTTCCTGCATACCGTTTTTGCCGATCCCGTGTTCTTACTAGCAATAAACCCCCCTACAAAGCAAGTTATGAACACACGCCGGTTTTTGCACTTTAAAGGGTCACTGACCTTCGGCAATATGGGCATTGCTGTGCTGGAACCGGCGCTGCCAATGTGGATGAAGAAACACATGAATTCGGACAACTGGGAACAGGGCATTGCCTTTCTGCCCGCCAGCATCTCCTACCTCATCAGTACTAATCTCTTCGGTCGGTTCGCCTATAAAATGGGCTACTGGTTGAGCGCCTTTCTGGGAATGCTACTCTGCGGACTCTGCCTCATTTGCGTGAGTCCGTTTGTCGACCTTATTTTTAAGGTAAATATCCAAAATGTTCAGCAAAAATTGCTCCATTCGCGAAGAGCAAGATTTAAGGTAAAGTAAAAGGTAATAGTCTAAAGGTTTACATGATATCCACATCCGTTATAGAGACAGGTCTGAGTTCATATTCTGACATTCTGTTACTTCAAACATGAGGTAGCGTGCTAGGAAGGAGGGTATAGAGTGCTGATAAGCCAATGTACGGCAAGGCGTATGACGGAAGCTCCGGCGCATAGTACGGGAAGACTTCGCAGCAATTATTTCAGCGTGGAGAGAATAAGCGACCTCACTAAGAAGACGTTCAGCAAATTGCTTGACCGTTTGAAAGTGTCGCTGTATTATAATATCCACTAAAAATCATAAAAAAACTGACAGCTGAAGAGAGCATTCGGTGGATATGTTTAAAAATGACCAGGTCTCTTTTTAGTAAAGCTGGAAAAATAACTGGTGAGCAGTAATTAATGAGGGGAGAATGCAGACATCTATAAATCGCCAGATAAGGCCTTATGGTGTGCGATATGAACGCACTAGGCGGATATCATATAAAATTTTACGAATTTTAATAAAGAGGCCTTCAACATGAAGAGTAAATGAGAGGTTAGAGGCCAGAGTAACACCTAGGTACCGGAAAGATGATGCCTCATTGGACAGAATGTCTATGGATTCAGGACTGGGAGAGGACCGCAATCAAAGAACACACTGGACTGACTTCTGGTCCTTTCATCATTCCCGGAAGAGGAAGAAGAAGAAGAGACGATTTCTGGGACCAAGGTATATTTTGGCTGACATTTCAAAAGCTTGCTCGCTTCCATCGTCAGAGCGGGGTGTCTGTACTCCTGTTCGCCTCAGATAAATATGTCCGACCAGTAGCCTTGCCTAATGCCCATGTGTCAATCAATTGCACCGATTGATTTCTATTGCTGTTTGAATTGCTCGTGCACTGAGAGATAAGCTAGGCCGACAGCCGGCAGCCGCGAGCAAAGAGGGTGGAGACGCTCACGAGACACAAAAACGACTTGAGACATCTCATGAAGACGTCCGTGAGGGCACGAGCAATTCAAACAACCACAGAAATCGATTGGTGCAATCGATTGACACATGGGCATTAAGCAAGGCTAATGGTCGTTCACATTTACCTGACGCGAACAGGAGTACAGACACCCCGCTCTGACGATGGAAGCGAGCAAGTTTTTGAAACGCCAGCCAGAATACACTTTGGTCCCAGAAATCGTCTCTTCTTCTTCTTCCTCTTCCGGGGATGATGAAAGGAATATTTTATATGGACCTCGAATTTTTTCGCATATAGACTTCTTGTCGTTTGGTAGAAGGCCATTTGCTGATTCACGCTTTATCCGCAGGGGGTGATGCTTTTCGAACACTGGATTTGAGAATGGTTGCAAAGCCCAATTATGTAGTTTGGCAGCATCTACAACGCTGACGCATCCCTGTGTAACAGGCAGGTCAAGAGTCCTCAGAATGGACGAGAGAAAGGAAAAAACCCAAGCCCCGAAAAGTGAGGTATGAAATATGGTAGATGCTATTAATACATAATGGGCAAAATAAGTTTTCTAACGAAAAATAAAAGTAGGGTAGACCATCACTTTAATGTCTCCCTAATTGCCATCGGGAAACCAACACGAAATGCAAGAAGATTGCGATGGTGTTATTAGTCAACTAGATAAACGCCGGTGTAGTTCGCTTGCGGAAACTGAGCTGACTGCGGCTAGAGATAGGCCGGGTAGGAATGTATGTATACCATTATGATGGTCAACGGCGCTCTTGTAGTGAACATCAGCATATAATTTTCATTGCTACCGAATACTTGGTCTTGCGCCGGAAGTGGATATTCTGGTTGATACTTCAGATTGCAGCACAGTTAGATAAAGATTGGTGTTCTTTTTTGTGAAGACATATTTCCACTTGGGGATTTATTGTTAACGTTATATTTACAATAAGTATTCCAAAAGCTCAGTTCCAGTCAGAAAATCAGTGGCATTGGCATTGCCTATTTCAGGCTTCGGCAGACTGTTTTCTATCACATAGCATGCGACTCACTTCTAGCACTTCAAAGTCTTTCAAGGTCTTCACAAACTCCTTTGTCGAAAACTTCAAAAACGAAAAAGTACAATTTAATGGAGAATGGGATTTTAAAAGGCGTAAGGTAGTACCTAATTAGCGCAAGAAACGAATTCCTTACGTTTTCTATTAAACCTACTTCCAGTTTGAAGGAGACCGAAAAGGAAGTTTGATACTACGTAGGTAGTCAAGTCAAATTTATTAAAGGAAATATAGGCAAAG